GCAGGAAATGAACATGACCGATTTCATCGAATGGACATGTGGCTGATCGATTCGATCCGGGGCGTAGAACTGTATATATATATATATATATATATATATATATATATATATATATATAGACACAAGTTTTTCCTAGTACAAATGAGCCTCAATTTGGACCTAGTTCAAAGATGGGAATGACAGCGAGAGAGAAATCAGGATGAAGAAGATGTGAGTTATCGGCGAAGACATCATACACATGATTTGCACACGAGCGAATGTGAAGCTGATAAAAGTCAGTGATCAGAGTGGTCATGGGAACGAATAGTAGGGGGATCCATGATGACTCGGTCGCCGAGGAGAACAGGAAGGCTTTTTTCAATTGGGCCATTAAAGATGATCGGAGGTGGGATGAAGAATAACGGGGGAAAAACAAACGAATGTAGAAAGAAAGAAATTACAGATTCTTTGGTAGTGAATGGCCAGAACTTTGGAATATGGAAGGACGATCGCCTGGGTAGATCAACATCGCTTCGAATGAGACTAGTTCATATTACTGTCCATACTATCCATATGCAACCGTTCTGTGGAACAGGATGAATGGAAAAGAGCAGATATACATGCTCAAAACGTTTTGCGCAATTCGAACCTAAGTGAATAGAACCGTTTTGAATACCAGTCAGATGGCTGGATAAAGAGAGACATTTAGACTGATTCAAGCGAGAGTATTTGCATATTTAGTAAATCAAGCGAGTGAAGGAACCGATAGATTAAAATACAGAAATAGAATAATCTGAAGGGGGCGGATAGTGACGATAAGTACAATGGAGTTAGTTGCTATTGGACGAGATAAATTCTGACCCACTTAACTACACTGAATTCTCGCAGTTAGAAATACCCTTTCAACCATGAAGTGAAGGAATTCGGCAACCAAGAGATGCTTATTAGTGAAGAACAGATGATCCATGGACCAAGTAGAAAAAAGAAAAAAATAATAAAGACACGCACAATCCACGGATTTTGCTGAAAAGCACAAGAGAAGGTATAGCGTAAAAGGTGGACCGTATTGTTTTGGAATCCAACTAGAGATGATCATGAATAACAGGTCACGGAGAGTGAAGACAGTTACGCATATCGTGTTCAGTGGTTTTCGACAATCAATGCTTACGTAGTCTGGCCCAAGCGGGACGGAGTGAGCGGGTTAGTAACTCGGGTGTTTGGGAATACGTCAGACAAGAACTCGCTATCTCATCGAATCCAGCTCAGTAGGTTCCATTGGTTAGGACACGTTTTGCATATGCCCGAAGGTCGCGTACCGCAGCACGCCTTATTCACAGTGGCTGTTACAGGCTGGAGAAAGCCACGTGGAGACGACGTATGAAGAAATGCACAGAGTGATTAGATAGAGTAGGTGTCTCTCGTCTTCCGGGTTGGGGTTCGAAAGACTCTGAATGCACATGATTGGAGACACTCAAGGTCATGGCTGTGAACTGACAGTAATGACTATCATGCTGTCATTTCTCATCAGTCCAGATTGTCTGAACTAGTATATAGGCACAGTTGGACTGTGTACTCTGTGTGTTGACCGTAGAGGTTCGCTTTCTTTTCTCGTCCCAAAAAATAGGCCCAATCCTCGTCCTCCTTACACATTCTCACTTATCTTAGATGCATTATGAGTTTGGCAGCGATTAGTGAAGTTCGCTTCACTGTATTACGCTGTACAATGAAGATGATGAAACTTTCGTCAGTATTAGGAAAGGAAGCAACACCAAAGGGTGCTTGTTCGGTATTTCTGCATATGCATCAACTAACTGCGGTCTCAAGTCACAGAAGGACGGATGTTACGAGAAAACTGCCGAACTCATTTATTGATTCTAGCGAAAAACTGGGCTCATTCGAAGCCTATCTTGGAGTAGGAGAGGAGTGGGGGGGGGTGGTGATCCATTCATCTCGCGCAGCGAACAGACAGCGATGATTGACCTCTCCAGTTCTGTGCAGACTACCGTCAGCTCCTGTGCAAAAACAATTTCCGGAAATCCGTCAGAAGGGCAAAATATTCTTCTAGTTCACCAGATAAAGTGGCTCAAAGTGACCGAACAGCTGTAAGCTACGTTTGGCGTGGCTAAGCACAAAGCCTATGGGATTACCTGCATTGAGTTTGATCACGCAGTAGCTCTGATACGCGTAAGGAATGGAGTGTGATCGTGATGTTGATTTCGGAAAGTGCTGATCAGTATCCGAGGTGTGATCTTGTGTATGTGTTCGTGAGATAAAGTGTATGTGATCATGCAGAGGATTCTTCATGTCCACCATCAACACCACAGATTGGTCAACACGAGGTGAACACCAATGGTTAAACACTTTGATCTTGAGTAAAATACAACCAGACTACACCACTCTTCCCACTAGAGTCTAATATACATACCATCGCCATGGAACACTATTTCAGATCAAATTTGCTGTGAAACATAATATCCCCTCGAAGCGAGTAGTTTCATTGATCACATCCTCCCGCTCGAAAACCGGAGAGAATAGTTTGGGGGAATGAATGCGGTCCCGCAGCAAGTGTGCATTTTGTTTTACCCAAGTGAAAAGTGCTTCTTGTAACTGATCAGAATGATGTTTGTCTAATGAATCTCGATGAATGTTAGCTGATCGAAGTGACCACGATGAATTGCGAGTTAAGAAGAAAAAACATCATCTACACAATTGCCAAACCAAGACACCTGTACGTTGCGATATTCAGCTCTCGGAACGGACGGGAAAACACCATTATGGCAAATGATGCTTTGCGTTACCATTTCAGTTCAGATCCAGCTTTTACAACCATTCACCATGCACTTCCAAGCGCTGGTTTTGATTGCTGTCCTTTGGTCGCCCCTTGTGGATAAGAGAGCAGAATGCAGATTGGAATGTTGAGAAGGGAAGATAGAGGAGGATTATTATAGACTGAGATTGTAAGAACAATGAGCAGTTGCACGAGCGCCACTGTTTGTGACACCAGCTCCAAAACCTGTTCCCGAGGGTGTGCTGACGATGCTTAATGGATAGAGGTATCTTTAAGACAGAAACATAAAAACACATTTCGGAATGTGATTACACAGATCACAAGTCAATGAAAACAGATTATTGTGAAGCATTATTCGGATAAAAAAGACTGAATGAACGATCGCAAGTGGAGACACAGAAATCAACACCATCTGCCACTAACTAGTAGGTTCACTATCAGACAGTTCAGTTTAGTTTAAGCAACCATTAGGCATGCATTTCCGTGCAATGCTTTTCGTTGTTGTCTTTCAGTCGCCCATTTGGGTGAATAATAGGAGGGTTGAAAGTAGGATTGAAGAGAAAATTGGGAAGTTCAGTGGACTAATGATGCAGGGAATTTGAGAAGATGCACGAACGCCACTGTTTACGACACCCAACCATATCACTCAGACAGTTAGTCTTTCACAATCAATGCCCGACAATTAGGGTGGAAAGACAATTGTGCGAAAACACTGTGCATAAAAAACCAGCTAAACACAAACCCTGGTCTTGCGAGTCTGTCACGAACACTTGGCACATGCTCCACAAGTTGGGACATAATGTGTTCAGTGTGTCACGGGGAGAGCGTGATTTGTAGTCAATTAACTATCAGAATCATCAAAATCTTGGAGACTAGTTGGATTACAGTTTTAGTATTTGTGCATCGCATAAGACTGACGAAATGGAATGCCCCACCGACGAATACCCTAGGTGGTTTTGCGAAACCACATTCGCAAGGGCTTGTCTGGACCAGGCGATGAACACAATCCATGCGAACAAAATAACTTTCACGGAACTTCATACCACTGAAAGACATTCTCACCAAATGAAGATGGAATAAGGCTTTGAGGCAGAACAGGAGATCCTATGAGAACAAGTGTAATTGTTACCGACGGCTGGGGGTGTGTGTGACACAAGCAGATAAAAGTTCGATAGCGACAGGAATGATTAAACAAACAAGAGATAAATGGTTTTTTCAACTAACCGGGATCGGAATGTGATACGGACTGAATGGCGTTTGTGTCCGCCTCGAGCATTTCCGGGTTAACCGAGTTGGGGATGGTTGGCAAACAATTATTGTCCGTCATGTTGAGCTTGAAGTCGCCGCTGCTACGCTCCTCGGAATAGACACCGGTATTGTCAGTCGTGTCTGACACCCTGGGTCCGTTAACTAACCGTGGACAAGTTTCCGGCGGCCCTGAGGATTCAAGCTCACCTGTAATCGGAGTGGTTGCTTCACAATCGCCGCGTGCAGCAGCAGCAGCAGCCAGGGGAGGTAATTGAGGTGCACGAGTAACTGAAGACAATCGTTGTCTTGTGGGCACAATTCCCATGGGGAGAACTGGGACTGAGCCAGGAATGCGAGGATGACCGATTCCGTTCGCACCAATTTCACCTAATACGGGGAAGAGCAGAAAAACATGGGAAAACATGAGAATGATCAATCGTGTGTGTGTGGTTGAAGCTTCATCCAGTCAACAATTCCGACAGGGTGGCTCGGAGGGCACTAGTTTCAACTGTCTATCTGAAAGGCAGTGCACGGGTTCGCTACTGACCGTGAAATGAACACATAAAAGTGACCAGTCATACAGAGTCGATAGGCATTTTACATGTATGAATAGTAGTGACAAAATTTTCACGCCTGGCATCGTTTATTCTTCTCATATTCCAATAAATCCAATAAAACCACAACCGCAGACCGTTTACACACTGAACCCCAAGAAGCCAAGCGAACACACGACTTCCACCAAGAATAAGGTTTGCAGCCCAACATACATACCGCATCAGGCTGGTAATCGAAATTGTGACATAAGTGGCGCTGTATTCGGTCTCGGAATCAACGACTAGGTAACCAAAAATCAGATAAGCGGTGCCAATCTCAACCCAATGGGTTTTCGGGAAGAACTAGCGGACACTGCGAAAAAAACACGGATCGAACGGGGAGCATGCATGAGAAACGAGACGACGATGCCATTCGGATGTTTCGTACACACACAACTGGCTCATCAGAGCAGACACTAAATGCCGAAGAACGAGGTGAAACGGATGCGTAGATAGTGAGAATCATCAATACCTCCGGAAAGTAGTGGGTATATAAAAAAAACACGGAAGTTGACTGGTTAAGGAGGAGATAAATAGATTTTAAAAAAATAAAATAAAAAAATAAATAATAAATAATAATAAATAAAAAAATAGATAAACTGGGCTAAACATTTCAGATAATGCGCGAGGCTGTCATAATGGTCAACGGGGACGAGAACGGTGGAGCTCGATAGTATAAATGTACGAATGACAAATGATTTTCTCGCGAACGAGTGAAAATAGCGGGCGCGTAAAGGATAGTGTGTGTGTAAAGAAGCGGAAAAACCAGGAAGCGGGCACCATTGCGTGCGGAATCCAGACCGTGGTTTGGCACGGGGAGGGGCGGGGAGACACGAGNTCGGCTAGGATCGATGGCTTGTGGGGCAAAATGGAAATAGGAGATGAAATTGAGGCTAATTTACCGGATGAGTGCATTGCGATGCAGACACACACGGAAGGGAGGGGGAGGGCTTGGACACACGGCCTGAGGATAGAGAAATAAATGAAACTACCGCATGATCGGTACAAAACAGGCTGATCACCTTTACTTGGCCCCGGAGGTCGTGTATCTGAACCCCACGATTTGGCCGTTTTCTTTCTATCCCCGAGCAGACCTTTGAACAGCCGCTTTGCCCTACCTGAAAATTACGTACAAACATGCATTCAATAAAATAAAGTTACTGATCTATTTTTTCTAAGTAGCGAACATATAGTGGATAGGCACAAAATGCGACTAGAATTGCGCATCGAAATAAAGAGGACCCAGGAATGACACAGTAAACTAAGAAAACCGTAGAATGAAACAAGTGCCTCTTTCTGGCACAGATTGAATACTGTACACAAAACAGGACAATCATAGGTCCTAGTTACAGAACTGAGGATACAGAAAGAGGCAGTCTGAGTTCAGACTGTGTGCCAAACAAATCACAGTGCAATAATGTTTGTTAACGGAGAGAGAAGATCATCGACCTGCTTGTGGGCTGAGCGTCGCCAGGTTGTCCATGCCTCAAGATACGTGAATATTCTTCGGGAATTCACAACCATTTCAGCAGATGATAATCAGCCTCCTATTCAGCTAACGAGGTTAGAAAAGAGGAAGAGGAAATTAGACGCAAACGATTCAGTGGTATGTCACGTGACCTGACAGAGTCAAGAAAAAAACAGAACGATCCAAAAGGATCACTGGAATTGTAGAACTACGGCTGTATACGTGGCACGAACTATGAGAGGTGAGGAAAGCTCCGTTGAATCTGCTCAACCATAGGAAGATTTGTATTAGTACGGACGCATCGACTGCCCACGGGTATGGCGCCGAACGGACGGGGGGTGGGGTAGGGTGGGGCGGGTAGCCGCATCACATTAGGTCCCAATCTCTTCGTTCATTGGAGAGGGCGGGTGTTATCGCTGTGAACAAGACGAATCTCATTTACCTCTACCTCTGTTGGGAATGAAATCGAACAAGACAGAGTTTGTCTGAACAGTAAAAACAAACAAATACATAAATAGGGAGGGAACAAAAGATCACACAAAAATGAACCATAACCGGAACAAAACACGTAGTCATATACTGTGCATGTTCTATGCACTGACCATGCACAGGTGCACAAAACTATCGCATCGTGTCGGGGTGGGTATTGATAAATGGGTTACTGGTCAGATATCACAACCTTCCGTACCCAGCTCTCTACCTCTATTCGAACTTCCAACCTGTAACAGTCCCTCAACCAACTTGGATGTCGTTTGTCTGGGTTCGTTGTTAAATTACGTTGTATGCATCAAGAAATGGATTGCAGATTCTGAAGTCTCGTCAATCACTTAATCTGGGGGCCATTAACGTGAGGGCTCTGGTGCAGGCAGGTCATCAGGCTTGCCTGGCGCGTACCATGGAATCCTTAGGTACCGATATTTGCTGCGTGTAGGAGACTCAAATTCAGGATCGGGTTAGCAATCTGGAAGTAAGTCGTGGTGTGTTTGAAGTCTATGAGGTATA